TGGGTCCTGTGGGGATAGTTCAGGCTGGAAAAAAGTCTGAGCCCTGGGGACAGTCTGGTACTTCACTGAGAATCTAGGTTAAGGAATAGTAGTTGGGGTAATGCAGAGAGAGCTCATCCCTTGATAAAACCATGTGTTCCAGGTTTGTGGCCAGGGTCCCAGGTGTGCCTACATGGAAATGGTGGTCAGGGTTACAAATTGAGAAGTACACCCAGGATACAAGTCTGCATTCTGTGTTTTAGGCCTGGGCCCTGCCATGATAGTCTGGGTCCCAGATGTAGGTGTGAGCCCCAGGTGGAGGTCTGGGTCCTGTGAGGGCAGTTTGGGCCCAGAGTGAAGTCTGAGCCCTGGTACCTCATCTGAGAATCTAGGTTAAGGAATAGTAGTTGGAGTTACGCATAGAGTGCTCATCCCCTGATAAAACCATGTGTTCCAGGTTTGTGGCCAAGGCTCCAGGTGTGCCTACTTGGACCCAGATGTAAGTCTGAGTGCTCAGGCATGGTGTGGTCACTAGTGGGTGCTATGGGCCTAGCTGGGAGTTTGGGGGCAAGGGCAGGACCTTGGGATGATGCAATGGTGGACAGGACTAGCCTGGTTATTTGGACTCCATTTAAGGAATAGTCACTGGCTTCCAGTAGGGTTCCCCGCAAGGGCCTTCTGGTCCTCGCCATAATGGCCTGCCAACAGGAGGTATGTTTGGGCCCTCAATGAAGGCTAGGTCCTGCGAGGGCCTTTCTGGCCAGGAAGGGACTTCTGGGTACCTGGGGGCCATCTGATACCTAACCTGGACATCTTGGTTTGGAAATGGTGGTCTGGATTACAAATTGAGAAGTACACCCAGGATTCAAGTCTGGATTCTGTGTTTTAGGCCTGGGCCCCGGGTTAACTTTTCGGGCCCGGCCATGTTGGTCTGGGACAGGGATGTAGGTCTGAGCCCCAGGTGTAAGTCTCTTGGCTTGGAGAGAGGTATTGTCACTAGGGGGTGCTATGGGCCCAGGTGCCAGGTTTTGGTCAAGGGCAAGACCTCGGGATGATGAATTGGTGGTCTGGACTCGTCTGGCTAGTTGGACTCCAATAAAGGTATAGGCATTGGGTTCTAGTCTGGGTCCCCAAAATGGCCTTCTGATCCAAGTTATAAAGGATAGAGTATCGGCCTGGGGACTGAAGGGTCCCAGGTTCAATTGTGGTCAGGTTATAAAGGATAGAGTATCAGCCTGGGGACTGAAGGGTCCCAGGTTCAATTACCTTTGTTGCAGACACAGCTCCAGTATGGGGTTTGCAGGAGGCAGTTGTTTTTCTCATCATTGTTTCTAACACTCTACCCACTCTCTTCCTCTTTGTGATAAATCAATAAAGAAAATACAATAAAAATGTTCTGGGACCCAAATGTAGGTCTGCATTCTTGGAGGGCAGTTCAGGCCAGGGAAAGAGGTCTGGGCCACAGGGGGTGGATCTGGTACCTCATTTGGGCATTTGGGTTACCATAAACAGTGTGGGAGAAAATAGCTGAGAATTCCGGAAGCCAAGAAAGTAGCTTGTAAGTATTAGGACATACTAATGGAGAGAAATAGCCTAGACATTGGGACGTCAGGCCATGACAAGTTAAGGACTCATCATGCAGGGAGACAAAAGAGTTATAATGCAAATCTAAGACCTGAGGGTTGTGTTTTTAACTCCTTCTGGTTAACAGAGAGGATCAGATTTACTTTATTTAATACCAGGAAAATAGGTAAGTATCTGAAGAGATTGAAACATCCTTAAAGCAAAATTTTCCCTAGGAAGTATAGGTGAGATAACAGGGGTCATACTTCTAGAATGTATTTTAGGAATACTTGAAAGGAAGATTAGGATACTGGCTAAGTGCTCTAACTATTGATCCCCTAAAATAAAATAGGATTGTATTTCTTTCTCAGGCAACTGTGTGACTTGGGGGCTAGGATAAGGCAGTTAGATCTTCAGTGTGTAGCTTTCATGTTTGGGTCTAGGCCAACCATTTCAGTGGCAACATGTTTGAGTGGCCAAGGTCAAAACCACTAGACCCTGGAGTATGATCTTGGAACGATAGGTTATAAGATCAGTCTCTGTGAAAGTAATTGTTTCTTGAGCAGCCTTACTTTTCAGACTTGATAATAATTCTTTAGAAGCAAATATCAGTGGTTTATAACATTTTTTAAAAAAATCTTTGTTAACATAGCTTTCAATATCAATAAACAGTACTTTTCCCCTACTAAGACTTTAAAGTTATGAATGAAAATTCCCCTCCTTCCAACCATCTGCCTTCTCTCAGATCCATTCTAAGGGGAAGTGGCCCATGTTTAATGAGTATATTGGTCTAAGTGCCAATATTGTTTCTGAATTTATCCATCTTACTTGCGGTATTACGACATTTCTGCTGCTCCTCAGAATCCTCCTGCACATACTCAATTGTGTACCCCTTTTAGTTAGATTAGCACTCACAACAGGACAAACTAACTCATCAGGAATCACTTCTCCTTTACTTCCATTTACTTCTATACTGGTAATTAACAACAGTCATCAAAGGTATGCAAATTTGTATTCTACATTTGCCAAGAATGGAATATATAAAGTAGGATGTATATGCACCAATCTAGATAAATTAAGCAGTGAGTTTTCAGAGATTTTTAACCAGACCCAATGGGATATCATTTTGACCAGTATTACTTAAATGTGAATTCATGCCCAGAGCAATATAATTTAGTTGAACAGTGCTTCTTATCTGGTTGATTCACTCTAGGCACTAAAAGCTTGACTTAAGCTGCAAGATACAGAACCAAAACATTTAATATTAGTAGGAAGTACTGGAATCAAGTGATACTTTTAAATCATATCAATCAAAGATTTAATAGGACAAAGTCAGATTAAAGTACCAAAAAATTCATACTGGTTTATTTTTTTATTATGATGAAAGTAGGAGAATCTTTATAAATTTGGTAATCCTCTTAAATAATTATTTAAAGGGCCATAAATAATTAACCTATTTATTTATTTATTTATTTATTTATTTTAATTAACCCTTTTAAAACCAATAAATTTATACTATAACCCAAAGCAAGAAGTAAGAGTAATTAAACAGACTATTTAAACACAAATAATGTTAACTATTAAACAATGCATACTGAGGACAAATCTTATGATTATATTGAGATATTAATTGAAGTTTCCAAATAAAACTTCATTTTTTAGAATCCATATATACATAAACACCATAGAATACTTTTTGGTAAATCAGGCTCCATCAACATCCTGTAATAATAGAAAAAAGATGAATTCTTACTTATTTTTTATCATAAAGTTATATATTTAATTTGAAACCTAGGCGGATGAATATTTGTATATAAAATATATCCTAGGAAATCATGTTTGATTTCAACAAGGGCACCTACAAACTAACATGTATCTATCTAAGCTTATTCATGAGTTCTTCCAGTGACTACATTTAGCACAGTTTTATATACACTGTGAATGACACTAATATTTCAGATTCAATAATAATATGGTTGCATATATAGGATAAAGCAGGTTTGATCATTAGATTCCATTCATAGGATAAAGCATCATCATATTAGATTGGACCTCTTATTGTATGTAAGAGTTGTCATCAGAACATCTTTTCTGAGCTAGGACTTTTATGCCTGAACATTTATAATAGACTAGGGGCCCAGTGCATGAATTTGTGCACCTTGAAAGGAATTGTGGGCCACGAGGCTGCAGTGGGCACAGGGACAGGTCTCAGCCCATCTTCTGCGCCTCTGCCTGACCCTCCTTCCACAGCCCCTAGTCCCCTGTCTACCAGCAGCTCCATTCCTACCACCACTGCTTCCACCAGCTGATGGTGCTGGCCCTGCTTGCACCCACTGATGTTGCAGAGCAATTGGAGCCAACACCAGCAGCAGGTGCAAGCGGGGCCGGCACCATCAGCAGGTGTGAGCAGCAGCTGCTGCCCCATTTGTTCCTAGGGAGCAGGGGGAGATAGAGAAGCCCTCAGGAGTGATTGGAGACAGCAGCTGTTACTGACAGAGCCGAGCGATCAGGCCAGGGCCAGGTGCTGGCAGCAGGTATGGGTGATGGCTCTGGTGCCAGTGGTGGTTGTGAGCAGGTCCAGTGTGGCAGCAGATGCAAATGCCAGGCAGGACTGTGGCACACAGGAGCAAAGAATTTTCAGTAACTAACAGAGTCTTGTCCCTATGACAGTGACCAGCACCCCAACTAGGTCTGACACCCCCACTCACCTGCCCCACCCTTCTGCCGTGGCTGATGCCCTATATGTTCTGTACTCTGCTGCCTGCTGCCAACTCCTGCCATGTACTGGGTGTGCCACCTGGTGGTCAGTGCACGTCATAGTGACTGGTTGTTCAGTTGTTCAGTTGTTCCACTGTTCAGTCTATTTGCATATTAGGGTTTTATATTTACTGAGTGGCCAGATTGTCATGATCTCTGAACATATAATAATCTGGCCACTCAGTGTGTGTGTGTGTGTGTGTGTGTGTGTGTGTGTGTGTGTTATTGGAAGCCTGGTGCATGAATGCATGAATGGGTGGGGTCCAGCCAGCCTGGCCAGGGGGAGGGGACATGGGGACAATTTGCATATTAGCCTTTATTATATTGGATATACACTGAGTGGCCAGATATTATGCATTCAGAGATCATAATAATCTAGCCACTCAGTATATATAGACTAGAGGCCCAACATACGATATCATGAGGCCCCACCCACCGGCACGCACCCCACCCCCACCTGCCATGCTCCCAGCCGTGCTCGCAGTCATGCCTGCCTCTCTGCTCCCATCCTCCTGCTGCCCTACCCATCTGCCCACCGGCCACCAGCCTTGCTGAGAACAGAGCCTGTGGGCCACGGGGGAGGGCCTGAGAGGTGCTTCATGCATCTCATGGTAAGCTGTTGTTTGGTTGTTTTGGTCATGACACCTCTTGGCCTTTTATTATTATGGTAGCAACACACCACAAAAATACCTGTGGTAGTTTCACTGACCCAAGTTGGCCTTGATGATTGCTTTATTGACTGCCTCTTTCACATCCTTGTTCCTCAAGCTGTAGATCATGGGGTTTAGCATGGGGATCACAGTGGTATAAAACACAGCCACCATTTTCCCATGCTCCACAGACTCTTCAGTGGGCCGCCTGAGATACATGAATATGAGAGTCCCATAAAACATGGTAACAGCTGTCAAGTGGGACCCGCATGTGGAGAAGGCCTTCTTCCTCCCGTCAGCAGAGCGCATGCGTAGCACAGCTACTACAATGAAGGTATAGGAGATGAGGACCACTGAGAGGGAATACGTGAAGTTAATTCCAGCAATCACAATCATCGTGTATTCTTTGATGTAGACCCCGCCACAGGCAATCTTGATGAGAGGAGGGTCTGCACAATAAAAGTGGTTGATTTTAAAGTTTCCACAGAAGTACAAGCCGTAGGTCCATAGTGTGCAAATTAGACTGACAGAGAATCCATAGACATAAGGCACAGAAATGAGGCGAACACAGACAGTCCTGGACATTTTACTGCCATAAAGCAAAGGGTTGCAGATGGCCATGTAGCGATCAAAGGCCATCACTGCCAAGATATAGACTTCCACATGGACAAGGGCAATGAAAAAGTAACACTGCACCAAGCACCCCACATAGGAAATGGTTTTCGTCTCTGATAATAAGTTTTCCAGCATTTTGGGGGTGACATTGGAAGAGAACCACACATCCACGAAAGACAAGTGACTCAAGAAAAAGTACATGGGGCTCTGAAGCTGGGGGGTGACACTAATCAATATGATCATGCCAATATTCCCTAATAGAGTTATTATGTAAACTACTAGGAACACCCCAAAAAAGAGAACTTGAAGATCCTGGTGACTGGTCAACCCTAGAAGGATAAATTCTGTCACATCTGTGAAATTTGGCATTGTCTTTACACAGACCCAGTCTGTATGGCCTATGGAGAAATGTTTTTAAATGAATGGATTTGTTTTATTCTAAAAATTTTTAGTCATTTAAAATAATTTAAAAATCAATGAGGATTTTGCACAATGTCCAAGAATATATGGGCATAATTGTTTTCTTTAATAGGTCTTATAAGTAGTTACCATCAATATTTATCAGTTTCTTATCTGTAAGAGAGGAAATTACATTTATTGTTAGTACATATTATTAAAATTAGACATTTATATTTTACTAGATTATGACACTAATGTTAAAATCATAGGGAATAAATGTGACTAAAGTTAGACTGAGAGTTTTCAAAGAATGGTTAAATCTTATTCCACATGGACTTATTTACCAAAAATATTCTATATTTTTCTTATGTATATGGATTTTTAAAAATGAAATTGTATTCAGAATCTTAAACTAGTGTCTCAATACATTGATATTACAATCTAGTTATTTACATATATGTCCTATGTTTTGTCAGCATAAGATATATGCTTTCCACATACAAAATTTCAGGTTGTATTTTATTTTGTTTAGCTAACATTATGCTTGTTTGGCTGCCACTACTTGCAGGGGTGAGGTGAGAGAAACTTAACAGCATCAACTTTATGAGTTGAACAATTATTTCAGAAGAATAAACTGCAAGTGGTTTAATCACCTAGCATCCACTATCAAACTTATGTCAATAGATAAATACCAACATGTAAAGTTCAGGTAAGTGAACTTTAATAACAATATGTCTCATTTCAGATTCCACTGCTTTTCAGAACCTATCAATTCCATGCTTATGATTCATATTCAAACTTGGCATCACTGCAAGAAAAAGGTTCCCAAACAATATTTTTCTGTTTTACTGCACTTCTCCAGTTGACTTCTTCCAATAACTAAAAACTTGCTGTGAATTTTCAAAGATCTAATTGTAGGATTAGCACAAACTTGGGAATTTAAAGTCTATAATAATGATATTTAAAGGATATATTACTGAATTATAAATAGGTCTTTGAAATTACTTACATTAATTAATTTTATAAATATCAAAGCCAATTACATGTCATCTAGAAGTAATCTAAATTCTGAAAATCTGAGGGTGAGAAAAATACACAAGAAGTAATCTAAATTCTGAAAATCTGAGGGTGAGAAAAATACACAAGATTCTGGCTTGCATTATCCTTTATTATTGTTGAAAAGGAATTAGTAATAAAATGAATTAGCAATAGATAAATATGAAAATGAGATCATTTAAGGAGTAATTGCTGTGAAAAAAAGTACAGCCCACATAAGTAAGAAATAAGGGGAGGCAGAGTGCAGATAGAGTGATCAAAATGACCTCTCTGAGGAAGTGACTTCTGAGTCAGTGAGAAGTAGCCAGCTGTGTAGAAATATGAAAAAGTGAGTACAAATTCAAAAGCTCAGAAGAGGAAATAGTAGCTTGGCATGTTGAAAAAGAGTGTTACTAGAAGCCTTCCTTTCTGTATGAAAAAGTGCATGAACTTTATGATTATACTAGAGACCCAGGGCATGAATTCCTGCACAGCTGTGGTCCAGCCAGTCTACCCCAATTGGGGTGACGGGGTGATCTGGGACAGGGCCAACCAGGAGGAGGAGCCACGGGTGATTGGCCAGCTGGCTCTGCCCCCAATCAAGGTGAGTGGGGCCAATCGGGGCCACAGTGCACGACAAAGCAACCGTTGTTCCGGCATTCCGATCACTTGGCATATATATATATATATATATATATATATATATATATATATATATCATGGCCCCTCCAATTGGTAGCAGGGCACATCTGAGAAGTTAATTAATCTCTTTGAGCTATTTTCTTACACCTAAAATGTTTAATACATAAATTAAATGTATCATCTTTAAAATGAATTAGGCACATAAAACAGGTACTGCAGTTTTAGTTCTGATCTAAGTTTCCTTTTACTAGAGAACTCCACTACTGCAGGTCAGCTGTTTGGCTCCTCTTAAGTATGAAAATACCCAGATGAGAGCTGCAGACTGTGTTTGGGAAATAGAGCTAAGGCCAGGGATTTTCCTTATGTAAAGACTCCTGATTCCACTCAATGAACCCAATTCTCTAATGAACAGATTTTCACTTGAGTTACTGCTACTACTACTATATTGTTTTACGTATAAAATGAATGAACAGCATCAAAGTATCTAAAATCATAAACTAATGCTACTTCTTTAATTTTGTTCCAGTCCCTGTGTGATGTGTATATTTCTCTTCCTCTACATAATCACTACCTCTGTGGTAGGTGTATTTGTCTCATTCATTTTGGAACTCTTTAAAAAGCCTAGGTTGGATGTTACATAGAACAGATATTCAGAAATATTCACATATATAACTTATTTAGAAAGCATCCTGATCTCTAAATCAGGTTAATATATCACTATAGTCTAGTATTATTAAAACTTTCTAAGATAGATTTTTCTCAACTTTAGAATATTAATAAGAATAATCAACTGTTATTGAAAGCTTATGAAATCCTTTACATGCAAAGGTTATGAAACATTAGAATCGTCCCTTTACAAACTAGTGCCAGGCCAGGAAAGTCTTCATGAGTCAAACATCTGCTAATTCACCAGTCTTGGGGTACAAACCAATTAATTTAACTGCAGCATGATACCCTTAACAACCTTATATTACCACCTCCTTGATAACTTATTATTCTATTTCTACATATTTACAATTTACTTTGATTACCCTCCAACCATAAACAAATTTATCCTTTTAATAACTTATCCTTGATGGACAGAGCTTTGTGTGACCCTAGAACAAGCTGAGCTACAAAGATAGACCACCACTACTTCTCTCTACCTTTCCATCATCAGGGATTCCATAGACCCAGGAGCAGATGACCTGTCACTTCTGAGATAGAGTCAACTTATTACACAAGTGTGCATCATCTATAAAAACAATTTTTAGTATAGAATGTGCAATTTATAAATAAAAAAGCAAATTATCTTTTATTAACCTTTTAGGAATTTTTCATGAAGAAAAATCACTGGTGCAATCATCCTCAAGGACACAATAGCCTCAAACTTCACTTACATATATTTTAAGAAAACAATATGCAAATCAATGAAATTTGTGGAGAATGAATGGGTGAAAAAGTGAGGAACAGCCTAGCCGGTGTGGCTCAGTAGTTGAGCATGGACTAGGAGAGCATGTTTCAATTCCTCGTCAGGGCACATACCCAGATTGTGGGCTAGATCCTTAGTGGGGGCATGAAGGGAGGCAGCTGGTCAATGAGTCTGTCTCATCATTGAGGTTTCTATCTCACACTCCATCTCCCTTTCTCTCTCTAAAAACCAATATTTTTTAAATGAGCAATAAAAAGTTGAAAATTCTCCTTGTAACAAGATGATTCTTATGAAGTTATAAATAAAATCTGAATAGAAATAAAAATACTTGCCAGTATATAATTTCACAAAATTAAACACTGTAATAATAAATAAGTCTACAAATAAGGTTTTAGTTTTCTCTTCGAAATAGGGATAAAAATAATAGATTTTACTGCATTCATCTGTATTGTATAAAATACAATTTGCAGACCTACCTTCAGCAGAGGAGAACAGCAGATGATACTTTTTTACTATTTATAATAGAATTTGGAACGTTGAGAGCATCTCCCCAAGGAACTATCCAGGTAATTATGAAAGGAATAATGATTCCAATTCTAGAAACATCTCGAGAGTAGGAGAAACTTAGGAGTATTAATTGGAAGAATAATTCTTTTAGTTAAATTTATTTCAAAAAGTATTTTACAGAAGTATCCTGAATTTTCAACTAATGGCAAAATTAAGTGCTGCCAACTCATGGAAATTATGAACCAGAATAGGCCTTGGAGATCAAAGACTATGTTCTAAAAATTAACTAGAGGAATAATAAGAGTTATAACAAAAATTAATTAGAAGAATAATAACAAGGTTACCCACAAATTAATCTAAAATTTGGAAACTCAGACCAGAAACATGATTTAACCATTGACCTTGGCCTCATCATTCTTTATGTAAGACTAAAGTAACTCTCCAAAAATCAATTGACAGCATTTCACCTTTGGGGGAAAAAAAGAGGTTACAAAGCTCATACCTAACCACATGCTAACAGATTACAAAGTATTAAAATGTTTCAAAATCATATTATGAAATATATCATAGCATAGTCTATCAAGAGTTCTCCAATAAATGGTTTTAATGTCACTGCCAAGTAACATTAAGCAAGGTAAGTTAGTTCTTAAACTCTCTAGGGAGTTTAAGTTTTGTCATTAGAGACACAGTAATACTACAATTTAATATAAAATAGCAATTTGTTTATATGTGAGTAGTTTTAACGTGTTGCCTGTGATATGTGTGTGTTTATCTGAAAATGAATTCATACGCATTTTTTATTTTGCTTAAGGATAAGAAAACTCAAAAACATACAAGGAAAAACATTTGTTCTCATATTGTATGGATCTCATTTTATATTTACATATTTGCAGATAAATTTATAGCTACTTAAATATGTAGTTTAAATCTGTGACTTACATTTCTGTAGTTATGTATTGTCCACATCAAAACATTTATTTATTTATTTATTTATTTATTTATTTATTTATTTATTTATCTGAAGAAAAAGAATCTTTAAGGAAGTCAATTTGTAAAGTCTTTGCCTCATGCTTATACTTTGTGACAAGAGGTACAAGAGAGATACCAAATTATGTTAATATTATCATGGCAGGACACAGTATTGTGAACAAGAAAGAAACCACTGCAAATATTTTATTTCTTGCAGATACAAAAATTATTTTTTAATATTTAAGTATGATGTCATCACAGATGTGCAAAATATTACACATGAATATCATTTTAACTTGTTAAGAATCTGAAGCCTTGTGCTTTCAAAATGGCACTTCTATCCCCTAATTCTACCCACTTTATTCAGTCTGAAGACTTTGGCAGGGGCACATGAAAGTGCAGTCTG